ATGCCTTGACGATGGAGGAACTACGAAGGGAAAATGCTAACGATCCTTTACTGCATGAAATCATTGAGTATGTGCAGCAGGGCTCTCTCATTCCGTATTATGCAATTCGACATGAACTATCAGTAGTAGATGTTGCCTGCTGTGTGGTTCGGTGTTTGTTGGTCCGCCCCAGTTGATAGTCAAGATAAAAGCTTGCGCACATGTGGGACACCAAGGTATATTTCGGACCGAAAAGCGAGTGAGACTCTATTTCTGGTGGCTACGAATGGCATCTAGCATTGAGACATTTGTGGTCAATTGCAATGCTTGCCGATTAGCGGACAAAAGTTCTTCGCCCGTTAAAGTCCCGACGCAATAAATTGCTTACCCGATAAAACCATGGACCAAAATCGCCACTGATATTATAGGCCCTTCCGCTGCTTGTTGCCACAGATTTTTAAAGTAGATGGCTTGAAGAACACATGTGCGACCAAGTTACTACTTCTATTGTGTTACGTTGACATAAACACTTGTTCAGTCGTTTCGGTTTGCCGCATGAAATAGTAACGGATAACGGGCCACAATTTTGTAGTCGCGAATTCGTAGATATTTTGCCTTGCCATAACATTAAGCACTCCAGAACTGCGCCCTACAATCCTGCAGCCAACGGCATGGTCAAGCGTTTAAACGGGTAAATAAAAGAATCTATACAAGCTATACACATAGGAGGTTCGGACTGGGAGGATGCAGATTTAACCCTCGTATTTTCCTACAAAACATGTGACCACAGAGCCACCGGAAGAACGCCAGCGGAGCTGATGCTAAGAAAGCCTTTCCGCACAAAGTTAAATGCGGTACATAAGCTTTTATCAGCGAGAGATGCCGAAGTTCCAAATCGCATAGCATCTTACTAAAATTCCTAGGCTATCGCATCGATGCCAATGCAGCCCAGCACATACGTTCGCTTCAAAAACAGGGTAGCAAATAAAGGCCCACCTTCGATTTCCGCTCCAGTGCGCATCGACCGTACGCTTAGCTAGGGCACCTATCGATTGGGGTACGGCCTAATCCTGAACGAGCGTCGACTCCATAAAGCACACGGACCAGATAAGCAGCCCGACCGATCTGCGTGTGAGGACCCGGCTGAGTTACCATTTATACGACGTCAGCTGCGTAGGTCCGCAAGAACTATGAAACCTATTGACCGCTATGAACCATGTTGAGGTGGCGTTTCGGGGAAACTATAATGTGGTAACCATGTAAACAAGATCGATTGGCTTAATCTCTTGGTTGGTTTGCTGACGCATTCCTACCTTACAACTGGCCGTGTGTCTGTCGTTTGACTCTCCATTTAATGAGGCATTGAGACTCAGTTGTACTTGGTTAGTTTATGAGATACATTTTACCTGTGCTGCGGCTTTCTTGATACAGCAATTTCGACATATGCAACTTGGCTTCCGACGTGTTCCAAAACGCTTTTGCATTGCGAGCTCTCCGAACAACTGCCTCAGCGAGCTGCAACTGCGACGTCCATACGCTAATGCTAAGGGAATAGAAGCGGCATACTACCACCATTGTCTTTGGATATACCGACTTAAACAGCTTCATTGGCCCCCTGCACTTATCCATGAGTATCGTCTCCCATGGGTGAGTGGTGAGCAACATTGCTAACACCCCCAAGCAACCTCCAGGTAAAGTCCTTCCGTCTCGTTAGGCAGCAACTCGTAAAACACGCTGCGATCTACGCCGAAGCCGTCAATTACCATGCAGTGCCAAAGCATGTAACCATCACAGTTCACCTGATGCGTGGCATCGTCAAGGAGCACGTCCCTGTAGTTCGCCATTACGGGTAATGGATGCAGGAAGGAGAAATAGGATTCGCACATGCAAACCATCCCCTTCTATATGCCCATCGTCATGCTTGCGCAACAATTCACAACCGCGTTGAAATTGCTTCCCTTAGATGTCCCACCTAAGCGAGGGTGGATAGAAAAGAGGACCTGTCATTTCCATCGGTGGTTGTACCTTTCAAAACAGCCTCGCAGTTCTCGGTTATTACATAAGGACTGCATCAAATTAAACACTGCCGCTCCAGCCCAGGCGTCAGGCGCTGATTACTAAACTACAAACAAACACCTCTAGTGAGAAGTAGGATTATGTGCCAAACAATACGAGTCTGTCTCATAGCAACTACCCTGCGCACTGATGGTAACGCTAGCTTCACAACCAAGGTTGACATACCTAGGCAACATGAAGTGCACTTAAGACAATGTTCGCACCTGCCGACTCCCACCTTCTTCTTTCCTGTTGCAATGGACACAACGCTATTTTACCCATTCGTACGCATCCCTTCGGGCAGCACTTTACCTGACCACTTCTTATACGACACAGTGGTCAAAATGTCATATTTATAAAAACTTGCCGTCTGAACTTGAAACTGCCTCAAATCTACCTCAAATTTACCAAATGCCCCATAAGCTTGGTGAAAAGTAGTGCGGAATGCAACGTTAGCATCCACAACCATTGCAGCTATTGCTTCGAAATCGAAATAATCTCTGCGCACTGAAACAAACACCCTACAATATATCGTAAAAAAATGTACCACCGTTTGCTGTTCCCCTAAATCAAAGTGTAGTTACTAACTGCTTCTCAAGCCTTAACAAACTAGTTCAGAACATTCATCCATAGCAGCAAATACATCAAACAGTACAGTCCCCAAATTACGCTCTGCTGTTGTCGGTTACTCCGACTATCCGGGAATCAGATAAAAACTTAAAGAAAAAAGGGAAGTATATAATGGTGACTGAAAGCTGGGCTAAAGAGAATCGCCTACCCCGTGCGGTCGATCAGGCAATCGATCGAGCGGACGAATGCGTTTTCAAACACCCGGCTAATTGGACTTTTGCCTCAGAGTTGAGAGGACAGTGTTTTCGGCGGCATTTTCTGGCTACGTTGGCAGAGTTTTGTTAACACGTTTTTCGTGGTCAAGGTTGTTGGAATTTTGATTTTTCTTCGGCTGGGCTAGAATTGCTGCGGAGAAATTCCTGGGTGGTTAATTCGGAATAGCGGGATGGGGAAGATGTAACAATGGCGACGGACAAGCACGGAAATGTTACAAATTGTTCTGCCGAACATTTTCAAAAGCTGCTTCTTCAGCAACAATCCCAGATGGAAGCACAAATGAAACTGATTGAAAGTTTAACGCAGTGCTTAAACGTACAATCAAACTTAGCAGCTACACGGGACACGCAGGCTGTTTCACTTGATCTTCTTACGAATTCAATCACTGAATTTCATTATGATGCTGATTCCGAATCCACTTTCGAGGCGTGGTTCAAACGTTGGGAGGATATGTTCCAGACGGATTTCAGCCTTTTTTTTTTTTTTTTTTTTTTTTTTTTTGGCTCCGCAAGCTTGGACCTAATGAACATACAAGATTCCTTGACCACATATTGCCCAAAGAGCCGAAGGACATCACTTTCAACGAAGCAGTGGCAACACTCAAAGGAATTTTTGGTGAGTCAACATCATTGTTTAGCATTCGCTATCAATGTCTAAAAATTGTAAAGCGTGATACAGACGTTTATTGGGCACTAGCAGACATGGTTAACCGCGAATGTGAACGTTTCAAATTACGCTGTTTGACGGATGACCAGTTTAAGTGTCTTATATTTGTCAGTGCTTTACAGTCTCCACGCGACGCGGAAATCCGCACTCGGCTCCTTGCTAATTTGGATCAAGATCCAGATTTGACATTGAAGTCTCTTGTAGACGAATGCAAACGGTTAATGACCTTGAAACACGACACGGCTATGATTGAGCAGAGTCGCCCCACCATTGCCGATACTGTTCATGCTGTGCAAAAAGCAAGAAAATCTGGCTGGAATAAGTCGTTCAACAGAAAACCGAACAAGCCGCCTACACCTTGTTGGTCATGTGGTGAATGGCATTTCGCACGATACTGTCCATTCAAGCGTCATATTTGTGATAAGTGTCATAAACGCGGCTAAAAAGAAGACTTTTGCCATCAGTCCCGGCCAAGAAATGTGAAGCAGTCCTACCGAAGGAAGAATTTCAGAAAACCTGATGCAGAATCACTATCGGTGATTGCTACGTTTCACAGCGATTCTAAAACACTCAGCCGATTTATCACTGTGCTTATCAACGGAATTCCAACCCGGTTGCAGTTCGATACGGCATCAGATATAACGATCATTTCCAAGAACACTTGGAAGCACATAAAGAAGCCGAAAATGATTGATTCCAACAAAATCGCTCACAATGCATCCGGTGGAGTGCTGAAGTTGGTCGGAGAAATAAATTGCAAAATTGCATTCAACGGAGTGGAAAAGGCCGGAACCTGCTACTTGTCTGATCGACCAAACTTGAACCTCCTTGGACTTGACTGGATGGAAAAATTACAACTGTTTGATGCCCCAATGAGTCAGATTTGCAATAAAGTACAAACCGACCCAGTACATTCATCATTGTCGATAGAAGAGATGACCAGAAAGCTAAAGCAGCAGTTTGTCACCTTGTTTGAAGATGATTTCGGCCACTGCACTAAGTTCAAAGCAAAGTTGTGTCTCCGTGAAGGAACCAAGCCAGTCTTTAGAGCAAAAAGACCGGTACCGTATGCAGCCATGACAGCAGTTGATCAAGAGCTCGACCGACTGGAACGAGCCGGTGTCATCACACCAGTGAAATACTCTTCATGGGCTGCGCCGATTGTTGCTGTGAAAAAGCCGAACGGTAAAGTGCGAGTCTGCGCCGATTTTTCGACTGGCCTGAATGCAGCATTGGACGACCATCAATACCCCCTTCCGATACCAGAAGATATCTTTGCCAAGCTAAATGGTGGGAAGTGTTTCGCCAAGCTCGACTTGTCCGATGCCTACCTCCAGGTTGAGGTTGATGAAAGCTCAAGAGAATTGCTGACCATCAACACTCATCGTGGCTTGTACCAATACAACCGCCTCCCTTTTGGCGTGAAAACTGCACCAGCCATCTTCCAGCAGCTGATGGACACCATGCTCGCGGGAGTTTCTGGAGCCGCGGCGTACCTGGATGATATCATTTTAATGGGTCGGACGGCAGAAGAACTATTTCAGCGGCTCGCTGAAGTGCTTGTACCTATCCAGTCATATGGTTTCCGTATCCGCGAAGATAAGTGTACCTTTTTACACCAACCATCAAGTTTCTCGGTTTCATCTTCTCAAAAGACGGTCGTCGCCCTGATCCAGAAAATATCCGAGCTATTCAAAAGATGCCCCCACCTGTGGACTTGCAGTCGCTGCGTTCATTCTGTGGCCTAATCAGTCATTACAGCGCTTTTCTGCCCGAACTACATCGCCTGCGTGCCCCATTGAATAAGTTGTTGAGCAAGGGACAAACCTGGAATTGGACGCCAGAATGCCAGACTGTGTTTGAGCGGGTCAAGCCATTGTTGGCTTCAGACTTACTCCTAACTCATTTTGATCCTTCCCGGGAAATTGTCCTTGCCACAGACGCATCGAGTCTAGGAATCGGTGCCGTAGTTTCCCATACATTCCCAGATGGATCTCAGAAGGCGATCGCACATGCCGCCAGGACGCTAACGAAAGCTGAAAGAAACTACAGTCAGATCGAGAAGGAGGCATTGGCCATAGTGTTTGCTGTGAAGAAATTTCACAAAATGCTGTATGGTCGCCGCTTCAAACTCTTGACGGATCACAAGCCGCTGCTGGCTATTTTCGGCTCGAAGAAGGGAATTCCTGCCTATACAGCCAATCGACTCCAACGATGGGCACTTACATTGCTATGCTATGATTTTGAAATCCGTTATCAGTCAACGAATTCGCTGGCCCAAGCAGATGCGTTGTCACGCCACATTGATTCCCAGCAACAAGAACACGAGGACACCATCATTGCCTCAGTTGAAATCGAACCTGATGTCAAATTTCTGGTGAACGAGGCACTACATGTTATGCCAGTTACGGCCGATGCTGTGCGGGCCGAAACTCTTCGAGACCCAATCCTGAAGAAGGTGACACACTTCCACAGAACCAGCTGGCCACGTTCGTGTTCATCTGCCGAAATGCAGCAGTTCTATCAGCGAAGACATTCTTTTTCCATTGTGGACGATTGCATCATGTTCTCAGACAGAGTAGTCATCCCGCAGGCGTTGCAACAAAGAGTGCTGCGACAGTTCCATGCAGGACATCCAGGGCTCAACCGAATGAAAGCGCTTGCCAGAAGTTATGTATATTGGCCGTTTATGGACAGGCAACTAGAGCAGCTAGCTAAAAGTTGTGGCAACTGCGCTACTGCCTCAAGGGCACCGCCGAAGACTGAACTCCGCTCATGGCCTAAACCAACTAAACCTTGGAGTCGTGTTCATGTAGACTTTGCAGGCCCAATCAATGGCCAGAACTTTCTCATAGTGGTCGACGCTTATAGCAAGTGGCCCGAAGTGTTCCTCATGAGAAGCACGAAAACCAGCGCAACCGTCTCTAGATTGCGACAAATCTTCAGCAGGTTCGGCTGCCCTGAAACATTGGTGACGGACAATGGAGCACAGTTTACTTCGGCCACATTCATGGAATTCTGCCAACGCTGCGCCATCATACACTTGCGGTCTCCACCATTCCACCCACAATCGAATGGCCAAGCAGAGAGGTTTGTGGATACATTCAAACGCGCTCTCCTCAAATCAAGGAGGTATGGAGACATAGCGGAGGTCATCGACTGCTTCCTCTTTCTGTACCGATCTACACAAAATCCACAAACACCGGGTGGAATATCACCAGCAGAAGCAATGATGAAGAGAAAACTTCGCATGCCATATCATGCAGTTCGGCCAACCTCAGAGTCCATAGCTGGTGAAAGGAACCTAAAGATGGAACGTGATTTTAATCGGTGGTTTGGTGCCAAGCAACGTTCGTTTACACCGGGTCAGCCAGTACTTGTGCGTGATTATCGGGGTGGACACGCAAAATGGACGCCAGGAACGATCCAGTGCAAGCGCGGAAGCGTCATTTACGACGTGCTGGTTGGAAAGCAGGTATGGGTACGCCATGCAAACCAACTGCGAACAACAATGTGCCAGCCACAAGCAATAGAATACGCCAAGCTTCCATTTGACCTGTTGACAGACAGCTTCAACTTGCCTACAGAGCCAGTAGAAGAACCCTGTCATCAGACGAATAATACCAGACCGCAGAGTACGGAATTCGAATCCAGAACACTACAGCCAAGACGATGCACCGGTAGGCGAAGAATCCCTTCCAGGAGGCTCCAGGTTAATCCCCGGCTAGCTTCATACACAACGGCAACAGCTTCAGGAAGGGAGGTATCCGGGAATCAGATAAAAACATAAAATAAAAAAGGGAAGTATATAATGGTGACTGAAAGCTGGGCTAAAGAGAATCGCCTACCCCGTGCGGTCGATCAGGCAATCGATCGAGCGGACGAATGCGTTTTCAAACACCCGGCTAATTGGACTTTTGCCTCAGAGTTGAGAGGACAGTGTTTTCGGCGGCATTTTCTGGCTACGTTGGCAGAGTTTTTGTTAACACGTTTTTCGTGGTCAAGGTTGTTGGAATTTTGATTTTTCTTCGGCTGGGCTAGAATTGCTGCGGAGAAATTCCTGGGTGGTTAATTCGGAATAGCGAAAAGTGGAAGGTCTAACACCGACCATCTCGAAAGCTTGTCTTGGAGACATTTTCCAGAAGACTTCGCTCCAGTCACTTTCATAGCAAGTTCACCTTGCACCGGTTGTAGGTTTATACGTGTCTGTGCTTAGCTTTTTAGGTGTTTGACAAACCTACGGTACTTGTTCGGATAATTTAGCATCTAAGCGCACTTGTAAGATATTCTGGCAGCGGCCATTGCGTCGTTGGTTAGACTTACGTGGAAATCAGGATTTTGTCGATGCTGTCACAACTACCACACCGAGAGCAATGCAGGAGGCCAGTTTTGGCAGGTATATACCGTAATTTATGCTCTCTCACATGTACAATTGCGAGTTCAACGAGGTCAGAATGCTGAGATGGCAGACATAAAAATATCCTCATGTGCATTCTAGGTATTGCTAAAATGTCTCCTAAACGCATGCCTCGTCTGGTGTAGGGGTGAACCGGCGCTAGGACAGCCTGTTCCAAATGATGTCCGAAAGAATGAAAAAGTTAACGAAAGCTTTGCGGCAGCCACGTGGGAACTACACATTATATTTTGCTGTAACGATTTCTTCTCTCTAGGAGATACAGGTATTTGATACTGCTTCGGGAGCAAAGCAACGCAAAGATAAAGTGGTAACGTTAAAACCATATAACTAGCATTTCATTAGGTGCCGTACTTGGCAACAATTCACTAGGAAATTGTGCACGTGGCTTGCAGGAGCACGATAACCGCGTTGATGACAGCACGGTGTCGCATCGTGCATGAATTATTGCTGAGCGCACAGTGTATTTGCCTTTTGGAAGCGAACTATTAACATTGTTTTCAGTGCACGCCGTACTTTTTATCTGTGTAGACCTTCTATATCTGCGTTGTTTGGACGATTTGGGTCTGGTGGTATGACCGTCTCGGAGGTCACGAAAGCTGACAAAACTGGTCACTCACCGTACGGCACAACGTCCCACAACGAACTTCTGACGGAAGCCTCAGTAGTCTGGGTGATGTAAGCAGTTACAGATACTGTCTGCTCATGCTTCCATTTCAGGCAGTAGAATTTGTGAACCTACACAGAAGCAGTGAAGACCGATGTTCTCGTGCAACTCTTATGATTGTAGTCATTTTACTACATATCGTTGCTTCGGTTCAACGCTGTTTACATTTTTACTGGACGTGGTTAGTTTTCACGTTTCTTTTTCTGCGCGGTCTGCATGCAGTGAACATAGCACTTTGCCTTCACTGCATGTGCCGAGGTAGGATTTTCTCGCTTGCGCTTAAGTGTCATATATACCGTAAGAACTACGAAGATATGCTTTCAGCAGAAGTGCTAGCAACGTCCTGATGCTAGATTGGCGCGGATCAGTATGTTTCGTGGAAAAAGCTGGAGTAGGATGAGCACATATTTTACGCTACTACATGTGTTGCATATGCATTGTACAAACAGACGATTGTGATTGCCTGCCAGCATAGGATTGCCTAACGATTTCTCGAGGATTTCCGAACGATTTCCGAAGGATATCTCAACGAGTTACAGCGTATTTCTGAACGATTCCAGAGTGCACGTTGTCCGGAAATCATAAGGTTGTCGCATGGCGCTCGTAGAAGACGCATGTTTATTGAACGATTTCCAAAGGCGTCTTATGGGAAGGAAATTAGCGTTGATCATTTTAAAATCGTGAGGTTGCGCTTGGTGGGATGTGAAGTATGCCGGGACCGTCGAGTCCGCCACTGGCGCGATTTTGAATGCTGGCTGTTGTTCATCAGGACAACCGGCTTCTGAGTTCTCTAAATGTATGGGTTTTATTGGGGTAATTTGTTGTGCTAGGTGTTTATAATGAGGTCAGGAACTTTAAAAAGCTAAACATTATACCGCACCACGCTTACTTGCAAAGTTGTATAAAAATGCAGAAGTTACTAGATATCGGTACGCAAACGGTTAAAAAAGGAACAGAACCTAAAAAGTCGCTTAGGGCTGGCTGCGCTATGTTTCCATAAAATGAACGAAGTGGCAGCATGTATGGTAAATTTTCCAAACTATGCGAGTGTCGATGTAAAGCATATGGTTTGTAAGTAGGGATTGGTTTGCAGTGGAGGTTAGCTGTGGAAGTCATAGCCGTGTAATCGAAATGGTAACCAAAATCATTATTAATTGTTAGATAATTGACTGCATAAGTGCAAACATGTCTCCTGCTCTTAAATGACATATATATATATATATATATATGTATATATATAACCTGAGCGATTGTAAATGTTTAAAGAAACCCTGTTCTCCATAGCAGCTCTTAAGCTCTGAAATGAATAGTCATGGACTTCGATGGTTAAGTATAGCGCGATGATCGTGCTCTATATATCCAGTACGCAACTAGACCGCCAAGCAAACAAATAGGTAGAAGACACAAGAGCAAGCTAGGGAAGAATTTTTTTGACGGGAGGAGCGTTAGTTAAAGCTTTGCCTATGCGATGTGGACGACAAGGCACAGTGACAGCGGTGGGGCCCTGAAAAAGGTCGCTGTTCCGTTCTCTAAGGAATGTAAAATGCAGACGAAAGTGTAAAGCGAAGGAAGACCGCATCTGGTACTACGACAGGAGGCGACTAATGCATGCACCAAGGGCGGTAATGAGGACGGCGGATTACGGTGCATGTGTACTATGT